GAGTGAGTGAGTGAGTGAGTGAGTGAGTGAGTGAGTGAGTGAGTGAGAGGAACGTGCCCCAGCTGCAGTTCGTATGGTGTTGACGTCCCCTGCAAGACTAGGACACTTGCGAGGGACGACGAATGGGTAAGAAATGATGTCAAAATCAGAAAACAAGTGAGATTTGTAAACGTGAGAGGATAATTAATTATTGTTGTGGAAACATTCCTGCCTTGGCTCGAGCTGCTTTTGTTCTGGTCGACTTCTTGCCTTAACGGGCACGGCACTACCTACCCCAATGAAGAACTATGTTCTTTTCAAACATCCAACGTAAAAAGCCAGGGATCCTCATCAAGACGAGGTGGCGGAAGGTTTATGACTTAGAGAAAATGACCTTGTGAAACATATGTCAGGCAACAAACTCAGGAGCTGAAATCTCCTTGCTGGAAAGCAGCTTTACTGGTCATTCCACAAGGCTAAGCACTTGGCCTGAAGTTGGACTTGCCATACCATCATCCTGGAAGCGGTACATTGCCAATCGAGCGGAATACATACCTTTTTGTCCGCAGCAGAATGGCGGAGACTTTGTCCAAGGACGAACGGTTTTCCAAATCAAGATCAAGCCGCCGATAGAAATATATTGGTTGGGTGACTTTCTCGAGGCACCTTCTGACTTCCTCTGAAGCGGACTTGCTTGTTTTCCTTGGAGCCACAGCGGGCCACATTCAGTTTCATGACAGCCTCAAGAGTTTGGACCATCCAAGCTTGGTACCAAAGCTCGGGAAGGGTATTGTTGCGTGGTTTGTTCTCAGCTTTTCCAGTGGTTCTATCAATGCGCGATGTCCATTGTGGGGACTGAGGTTCTTCATACCTTCATTTCTCACGACGGGACTGCGGAGATGGCAGCCTCTGGCGCGCAGGTCCGCTCAAGGTAGCTCAAGTCCAACAGATTTTGGACGGCTGGACTCTATGAGGAGGAAATCCGCCCACACCGCTTGTCGGTACAGGTCGTGCCATTGCTAGGGGGCTATTTTTTCGCGCGTGCGCGGCTATGGTCGGGCTGCAGCGCCACTGGGGAGAGCGTTTTGGATGTACATTTTTGGATGATCTTTCGTTACGTCGTTCTCGCAGGGCCACTGGGGAGAGCGTTTTGGAGGTGTATTTTTGGATGGCTTTTGGCAATGCCGAAGTTGTATCACCATCCATTGCGGGCTCCAAGGTAGACAAAGTTGACCCCAAGATGGCTCCAACGCAGCCGTAAGACAGCCAACCTGGCACCTTTTTTTCGCGCATGCGTGGCTATGGTTGAGCTGCAACACCACTGGGGAGAGCGTTTTGGAAGTACCTTTTTGGATGATCTTTCGTTACGTCCTGCTTGCAGGGCCACTGGGGAGAGCGTTTTGGAGGAGTTGTTGTGTTTTGGTGTGGTTGCTGCGTTGATTCTTGCTCGGCTGCAGGGCCACTGGGGAGAGCGTTTTGGAGGTGTATTTTTGGATGGCTTTTGGCAAGGCCGAAGTTATATCACCATTATGGGCCCCAAGGTAGACGAAGTTGGCCCCAAGATGCAGCTGTAAGACAGCCAACCTGGCGCCTAGATGGCTGCACTTGTCCCCAACCTGGCGCCTAGATGGCTACTTCCATTTCACTAACTTCGACTGTTCGTGCGCTGTGTGGGCGGCTGTCGACGCGAAGTGTCTTGAATAGAACTCCGGACTTCAGGGAAGAAACAAGCAAGGCCAAGGCATCCTTGTTGTGAACCAGCAAGTTAAAGTCGTCCCAGTTGCGCTGTCTACCAGAGCAGGAGCAATTCAATAACATGGGAGGAATGAAGCCAGCTTGGCAAGAAAACTGCAACTCTTCTCAGTCTTGGTCTTTGACGAGCGCAAGCGCGTGTACATGCCGGTGAACCAGAAAAAAATAGCACAGAAACTTGGATCTACTTCTGCCTACTGTCTATGCATTCTCAGAGCCCTTTCCAGATCAACCCCGCACAAGGTCCTGGCCCAGCAGCATGCCAAGGTCCAAAGCCAAAGATGTCAGCTTTGTTCCCCAGGTCTTCCAGAGTTGCGTGTAGCCCAAGATCAAACCTTTGCCTCTCAAAGTCTTGAGCACTAAATAGAAACAGAATGCATTGAATCAGTGCAATGCTAAACGATCCTAAACAGAAGATCCGATCGTTTGACATCCTACTCACCTTTGAGTGAGCCTATTGTTAAAGGATCATTCAAGAATGGCCAAAAAAACAAACAACGCAAAGGGACTTTGCCAACGCCTTCTACGCAGAGCAACCTGCCCAGCAAACATTTCCCCGGTTCTCCTGTATCATGGAGCTTCTAAGTCTAGCAACAAAAAAGGACGCGTCTGATACCTCGCCCTGCAACCGTGCTCTCGTGTTTTGTGATCGTTCTCTTGTCCGTGGATTTTTTGTTGGTATTTACAGAAAATAAGTTTCAGAAGTGTCTCGCCGGCGCAACAAGTTTCCAATTTTCCATTTTCCCAAGGAAGATGCCTGTGTCCAGCGCATCGCAATAGCGAAGCGCTCATTTTTGTTAGGAGTGGGAGAAAAAAGCTCCAAAAGTGCTCTTGAAGGTCTGATGACAAATGATCTGCAGTCGTCCGAAAGTCAGCCAAGAGTTTTTCCACGATAATTGTTCCTACTGTAAGCTCACAAGACATTGCAATTCAACACGCAATTTTCTTTAATTTAAAAAACCTGCGGGAAAGTGTTCATCCTTCGGTTTGAAGGTCATTGCCTGAACTGTTTTTTGTATTTACAGTAGATTTGGACGTTGCATAGAAGTAAGCGTAATTGAAAGAAGTACATTGTAGTATGTTGTAATACACAAAGGAAAGCACAGCAAGTTACGTATAACTGCATCCTTACATCGCTGCAAGCACGTCAATACCCCCACTTCCACACCCCCAACCCACTCCACCCCACCCAGGACCAAGGGCAGTGTATCAAAAACGACCCCCTCTATAATGTAAATATATATATATACATGCGTGCGCGCAATATAATGCACCTTTTCTTGATTCACAAAAGGGCTGCAGTCAGGTGAGAATGACTGACATGATGCTGGTTAATGCTGGTTATTCTGTACATCTCTACTGCGGCTTACATGGAAAATGGTTCGCACTCCTTCTTGGCGATGTGAGACCCTAAAATGTTTCTTTCAGCTCACTTTGCCACCACAGTCCATTCTCTTCCGTTCAATTCTTGCCTCTCTCTCAAGAAGAGATCAAGGCATTCAGAGAGTGGTCATGGGTCTTTGAGAAGTTTTTGAGTGCAGTTGATGAAGGCTACATGAAGGACCTGAAGGAAATTCATGAGAAGCCAAATGACAAATTTGACATGGACTTGGCAACTGAGGCAGAGAAGACCAGGCGCATCAAGCTCTATGGATTGTTAGCTTCATTGATGAGAGGAAGGGCACCGCAATTGGTGAAAGCTGTGGAAGACTCCAATGGATTTGATGCCTGCAGGAGTTTGAATAAAGATTGAAACCAACTTCAAAGGCGAGAGGCTTGCCACTCTTGGGGGCAGCCACTACATGGCCAGCATTTTCAATGAACAGGGCATTGCAACCTCAACTCTTGAAGCTTGAAGAAGTATTTGATGAGACAGCCAAGTCAGGAACTACAAATTTTTGAAGAGTTGAAATCTGCCATTCTTTCGAGATGTGTAGGTGGACAACTCAATCCATACTTGAACTTGACAATTGGCGACAATAGTCAATACTCAACTTTGAGGGAGTAAGTGTTGCAATGGGATAGATCTCAGCAGAAGTGGGCTACTTCCATGATGGCAAGTAGCAGTACAGACTATCAAGGGCCTATGCCAATGGATGTTGATCGAGTCCAAACTGCCCAAGGAAAAGGTAAGAAGGGTAAAAACGACCAACAGAAAGGCAAAGGTAAAGATGCCAAGGGCAAAGGCAAGAAAGGAAAAGGTAAAGGCAATGGCCGAAAAGGCAAAGGTGTAGCAACATGTCACACTTGTGGAAAGCCAGGACATCTTGCTAAAGACTGTTGGAGGAACCATATTCGACACGTAGCAAGTGATCAAACCCATTCATCTTCGGGAGGAGCATCAGTGACAACTCATACAGTTGGCCTTGCGCTGATGGCTTCTTGTCCTCATCTGCTTTCTTCACTGCCTCAGCTTGTGATGTTGTTGCCAGCGTACTCTGTGCCTGATCTCCTCCATCTTCTCCTCGTACTAATGTCTCCTTGACACAATGTACTGGGTACAGAGTGTTGCTTACAACAACTGTTCACCAGTCCAGCTGTTTGGGTTGCAAAGGCCCCAAATCCCAGTGACCTAGGGGCTTTTCACTTAGAGCTCCAGAGGGGTTACCTCCTTCTTAGCTCCGCTACCATACGCATCTTTTCTTGATTCACAAAAGGGCTGCAGTCAGGTGAGTATGACTGACACGATGCTAATTTTTCTCTACATCTCTACTGTGGTTTGCATGGAAAATTGTTCAGCCGCTACCACGCAGAATAATACTCCTTGTAGCATAGGTGTTGTCGGTCTACAAGGCAAGTGCACAAAGAGGTGCAAATATTGCATTCTACTTGTCCACTATGGTGCTCTAACCTCTCTGGCCTGTGATACCCACGTTGGTCTCCTCATCTTCGGCCATAGGTGCCAGGGTCCACAACAGCACATCATCCAATCCGTCACACCTCAACCATATCCAACTCTTTCTCTGTGCTGGGATGTGCTGGGTTTCTTCTGCGGTCAAAAGGGACTTGTAATCTTTGATCAACTCTTCAACCAAAGTATCGTCTGTGAGGACGAGTGTTGTAAGCAACATAGATCATGTTTTCCTTGCACAGCCTCCAGGTATCTTCAAAAAAGCTTCTGAGCTCCTTACGTCGATTGAACATGTGCCGCTTGGGAAGTGACTCTTGTAAAGACAAGACAAGCAAGTGCAGCTCATGCGCTGTTTAAAAAGTACAAAAAAAGCAACAACAATGCATACAAATCTGCGATGGTTGCAAATGCACTGCCGGGTATCTAGCCCACCCATTCCAGGCACTTTGCTGTCAGCTTTCTCACGTTTGTATCCAGCCGCGAGGATGTACACTTCGAAGGTCTTGGAGCCTACGGCAACGTCAGAACTTCATCGATCCCTCCGTCCGTCCATGCATTCATCCACCCACTCCATGCCCATCTGTCATTGAGTTGGGTAGTCAGAATTAGAACAGCAATGCCCTGCTAGAAAGTGCAAGAGCAGCACAAACAAAAGGCAGCACGAAGCTTGTACGTGCTTGTTTGTAGGGCTTCCTCGCTGTGCTTTGCTTCAAAAGCCTTTGCTATGATCGAATGGTGCGAGCCATCACTGAGATCATTGATCGAACTCATCAATCATCAACAAAGGGCCCAAAGGGCTGCATTGAATCAGCTTTGCTCGGCCAATATCAATTTGGAGCTTGTTTTCACCTAGTGGAATGCGGTAAATGTTATCATATCAGACTCGTCCTGGTTTAGACTCAACCGAAGCGCTATGCAGCTTCTTTCCAGGCAGCTCTTTCTGAAATTGGAGAATCATTCGTCAGGCTTGAGCAGTCTAGCTAGCTGTTCAAATGATATTCCTCTGCAAGACTTAGCCAACCCGGTTACTGGATATTGAGAGAAAACTAAGATCCTTTAAACCTTGTGTTTCTTCGATTAGAAGCTGTGTATGAATAATCTACCACACTATATTTGTTATATATCGTTCAAATCAGAATGTGCTCAACTTCAGATCCTCTTTACTTGCTCCAGCCAAGCAGCGGTTGATGCAGCGGCATTTCCGGCTATTTGGTCGTTGTTTAGGTGTCAGGCAATGTCTATTGTCGCCTTTTGCCAGGTCTTTTTGTACTGCACAGGGGGTGTTATCCAAGACAAGAATGAAAAACTGGCAGCCTAGAGCACGAAAACAAAGCGCCAAGTTGCTTATCAGAATCCCGGCCTTCTGGGCTAAAGACGTGCACACGCTGAAAGAGCGGGCGAAGAGAACCTCCAGATCCATAGTTTACCATGCGATTCATGCCACCTAATTCATTTTGGGCATTGTCTTATTAATACTGATGCAGGCCCACTTAGTTACACATTCGAGACTTTGTCAATCAAGGACTCTTTGGCACTAATCCACACTGAGTTCTTCAGAAGAAAAAGGAGGAGACTTGAAGAGCTTTCTTCATTGATTTGTCAGAGTCAAACTGGGAACGAATGAACAGGACTCTGACTCTACGGGAAGCTGGCCAAGCTGGCTAAACTGGCCGCTCGAAATTGCCGATCAGCCATGTGTATCAGTTTGGCGCTTTGTTCTGGCCTGCTATGAAGAACAACACTGGGTGTAGAGGGAGGCCAGGCCATAGAACCACCAGCGTCCCATCCTGCAATGCTGGTCACTATCATTGTATGTCACAAGCAAGGTGGAGTTGTTTCAATCCTGTGTTGAGGACTCCTTTCTTGCAGGACACATGACAATGGATGTCAATCGTCCCACGCCAATGCATCAATCCATGTTTCTGGAGACAGAAGCGGGCTGAGCTTGTCCAACTTCGGCTTCCGCAAGAAACATTCTATATATATATATATATATTCATAAGTCCTTATAGATGTGAAAGTAACCAAATCCTGTCCTTTATAGTGGTTACAAGCTTTTGAAAAATCGATGCTCATGCCGGACTCATACCTTATTACGATATGTTCTTACTCCGCTTGCAGGTTTCAAGAACGTCCTTCGCCAGCCGACCTAAGGTGATCGCCAAGCTGTTCTTCAAGGCTTGCAAACGTCGCCGCACACGGTGACCCCGCGTAAGGCCCACCACACCGTAGCCTGCAACAGCAATGACACATTCCCCAAGGCCACCAAGGCCTGAGTTTGAACAGCCAAACAATCGATATTGACCAGTTGTCCACCGAAAAATAACAGCTGCCTCTATATTTACATGCTAATGTTTGTTGTCTCATAGGAACCAACTGGATCTCTGTTCCTGAACAAAAAGTTCCAGCGCGATCACCGAAATGCTTTGCGTGTCATCGACGGCTCTCAGAGACACGCAAGCGCCTGCAATTGTGGCAGGAGGAATAGCGGGTAGAGGTGCATTTTCTTGCTGAGACTGTTCCTGCATCGGAATCGAAAAATACAAGCAAGTACCGATGCAAGTTGCAAGCTGTCCAGCTGCACTGCGTCAAAAGCTTAACCAGACTGCACTAACACTCAAAATGTGAACTTCTGCACAATCAGCAAATCTCATTGTTTATTAGTCATTGTGTATAGGCTGTATAGGCTCTTAGCCCTGTATGTATGGTTCCACTTCTCAGGCTGCTGACAACACAATAGTAATTTTGTGTCTCTGACTTGCCGAAGCGCCCTCCTTACTTGTTCTCTTCTCTTTCTGCTGCTGTTGTTCCATCTCTTCTTTCCTCTGCCTGGCTAGCGGCAACAGCCTCATGGGCACAGCAGCTGGACCAAATCTTATCAACAGTACACATTACTGTATCAGTCATACTGTATCCCAAGTAAAGACCCAGCGCAAGGGCCACAAGGGTCACAAGGATGAATCCAACGACCCATATCGACTCAATATCTATATATATAATATACCCATCAATATTCCATTCTCCTTCTCCTGCAATTAGGACCTGTCCAAGCCCACACAGCGGCCCCACGGTACCCCACCAGCCCATCGTGGCCGGCTTCTCCGACTGAAAACCTCAACAGTAAACTGTTTCCTCCTCATTGCAGCCCAATCACGGGTTTACTTTCAGAACAGTCCCGACTTTGGTCAAAAATAGGCAACAGGCATGTGGATGCCCAAACATACGAATGCCTCGAAGCCAAATTGTTTGAAGACATACTGAGTGCCTTCTAAAGAGGTCCAATCCTTTGTATAGCAAGAGCTCTTAATTGAAACAACTCCATTTGGTGGCAAGGGGTGCAAAAGGAGTTCGCATATTGGGCCTACGGTCCAGGGCGTCAACACTAAAGGCGTGCCATATCTTGAAACATATCACAGAACCAAAATGTGAGCGAATGTTGAAATCTTGTTCAGAGTGTCTTGTCACAATAGCCAACCAAAGCGCAAACAAAACACGTCTTGATCTTGTCCAATGTGCCCGCACCTTGCTTCCAGCTGTTCTTCATAGTCGTCATCATTTGGGTCCAACAAGTTGGCTTCCTCTCAGCGACTCGAGATGAAACAAGTAGAGGCATTCATGTAGTTTAGCCATTCATGGCCCAAACATAAACATTAAGAGCAAAGTATTCTGATTGTTCTGGGAAAGGAAAATGTTTTCATGGTTCACCCAACCATTGAGGAGCTCCCGAGAAAGGGAACGATTTTCAAGACTTTAAGATCAATGAAACCGATGTCAGGACATCAAGGTTAAATGGATTCAATGACAAAGCATCTTTGTTTTCCAGTGACTGCACGCACGTCCAGGTGGTTTCTGCAGCGGTTGAACTGTGCATTAAGTTTGCGATACAGTGGTTCCGATCCAAGTTGCTTGGATAATAATATCCCGGGGTCAATTTCCAGTCAACTGAGGTTGATTAATGTGAAGTGAGGTTGTTTGACATGTTTTGCAGGTCAGGGCAATGAAATAGTTTTGGCAGCCTGATGCAGTGCAACAAAGCACGCCAAGCTTCAAGTACCACGGAAATTACTTTACTTCGAGTGGTCCCCACCATGACATTTCAGTCTGACAAAGTTTCTGGCAGGTATTGAAACATTACTTCGGCATCTTTTCTGGCATTATTGCCGGCATATCTTCTTACATTCTTTCTGGCATTCTTTCTGGCGTTCTATTTGGCATATCTTCTGACTCACGGTTGACGTCCGGCGGGGCCGAAGCTCGCGGTTGAGGTCCGGAACCCTGCCACACGGAGCTGGCGGTTGAGGTCCGGCAGAGAACACTGCCATCCTGCACTTGCGGTGGAGGTCTGGAGGAGGAGGCGAAGGAGAAGGAGGGCGGAGGAAGAAATGTCGCATCTACAAGGAGTTGTTCAGAAGCTGCAGTTTAGCTTGCAAGGGTTTGAAGTCCTTGCAATAACTTGAGGACAACGCATAAATCATTTGCTGCATACAAACACGGCCCAATAGAACAACGCAAGCCCACACTTCCGTGCAAATTAACGGGTATTGGCCGGGTCAACAGTCAACATTGCGCCTAAAAGTCTGGCTCAGCTTGCTTCATGACAACCAAATAGAACAAAACATCCATATTAGTGATTGGTTGGGTTCGATATGATCTAGAACTGTTTTGACTATTGACTGACGACATAATTACACATAGCCATACAAAGATAGACTGTTGGAGAAGAAATCAACACGGAGACCAAGGGCCAGACAATTGGCTACCACAAGACCAGTGGCTAGTTTGAAAGCTTTCATTTTTCACTGCGTATCATTTGGAACTGTAGGGTCGGAACCTGCTTGGTCGCATCCCACCCACTACCATCTATCTCAGCCCAACCATCAGTAGAAGCAGTAGTAGTCGTCGTCGTGGTGGTCGTGGTCGTGGTCGTGCACGTCGTGGTCGTGGTCGTGGTCGTCGTGGTCGTCGTCGTGGTCGTCGTGGTCGTCGTGGTCGTCGTGGTCGTCGTGGTCGTCGTGGTGGTTGTGGTGGTTGTGGTGGTTGTGGTGGTGGTGGTGGTGGTCGTGGTCGTGGTCGTGGTCGTGGTGGTGGTCGTGGTGGTGGTCGTGGTGGTGGTCGTGGTCCTGGTCGTGGTCCTGGTCGTGGTCCTGGTCGTGGTGGTGGTCGTGGTCATGGTGGTGGTGGTGGTGGTGGTGGTGGTGGTGGTCGTGGTGGTGGTCGTGGTGGTGGTGGTGGTGGTCGTGGTCGTGGTGGTCGTCGTCGTCGTGGTCGTCGTGGCGGTCGTCGTGGTCGTCGTGGCGGTCGTCGTGGTCGTCGTGGTCGTCGTGGTCGTCGTGGCCGTCGTGGTCGTCGTGGTGGTCGTGGTGGTGGTGGTGGTGGCGGGGGTGGTGGTCGTCGTCGTCGTCGTCCTCGTCGTGGTGGTCGTGGTCGTGGTCGTGGTCGTGGTCGTGGTCGTGGTCGTGGT